GAGCCATATAATAAATACATTTATTAAAGCTCCCCTATAGGGACTTTTCAGCCACAATGTAAAAAATAGTCATGAATAAATTACTTTACAATAGTATAAAAATCAACATGGGCATGAAAAGAGAATAGAATAAATAAAGATAAAAATTTATATACAATTGGAATAAATAAATAAATCTCAAAGTTCCTTGAATACTAGTTTCACTAGAGGAAATCTCTGCCGCTGGCCGCAATAACTCGGCGGCCTTAGCCCAGTGTCTAGTGCCGAGTCCTTTTGATTTCGCTGCAGTTGAGAGATACTGGGGATGAGATTGCTCGAAAATCACTCCAGTGCTTTCACAGCCTAATATCACTTTAAACAATAAGGTTTGAAAAAAGCATTTGAGTTTTCCAAACAACAGCGCAAAACGACGCTAGGGAAGTTAATTGTCAACGAAACCCTTAAAAAACTCGAACAAACAACAATTGAACAAAGAAGGCTCATGATTAACAAAGAAATCGAATAACTGCTCCGTGAAGTAAATCGACCATTCTTTTAGTTAATTATGTTATCAACAACTAGAAAGCTAAGAGAAAGCGGCTTCTTTACGGCGTCAACAGATGGTCAATACCTCTCGCCTTATCTCCGATTTTTCTTGAGGGGAACGGGACGGCTATACAAAGTCTACAAAACCTCAATAACTCCTGCTCGGGAGCAATATAGATCTTGATTACTGTTTCAGGTATTCATTTACAGTTGAAAACAGCTAGTTAAAGATAGTTTGTAAAATTCACTGAAACAATCTGGCACTTGTTAACTTTTGACATAGGGATTATAAAGAAAAATTCGTTTCTTGCAGGCTAAAAACAGCAACGGAAGATTCCAAAGTCCACATTTTAGCTACAGTATCACGGATATCTTGCAAAGAATCTAATCAGATTTGTATTTAAGAAGTGACGTCATTTGTAGTTTTATAGCAACCCAAATATAACTACTGCTAGAACAATATTTCTAATAATGGAAGAAGTTTTGAAATTGCATGGAATGCATTTGTTAGATTTTTCGCGTTGTCGTTAATAAAATCTTGTTTTTAAGATTCCAGCACAGTTAGGTCCTTGTTCAATTTAAGTTGCTTGAACTAATGACAATCAGTTGTTTCATAACTACCACTCATGTTTCTGTTTGAAGAAGAAAAAATAAGATTACACCGCGAGCTTAAAGTTCTGCTTTATTTATTGCAAACTTTGTCACCGATTTTTTACACGTTCTTGTCCTGAAATTTCTTATGGCATTGCCAAAACTCGTGTATGTCCCCTATGTCGGATAAACGATCCCTTTATGAATTTTTCATTTTCCTATTCGTGACTAACTGCTTCAACACTCTTCAGCGAAGCAATTTCCGTTGTTTAATGGCCACTAGTAATGATGATTGATTGAGACTAAATTGATCATGACAGCGCGACACATAATCCGCTCGAGGGCAGGCCTGAAATGGAAAACAACTAATCCTATTCCCCTGACATGCTATGCTAGCCAATAAAACTAGACTGCTCTTTTACCGAGGTTTTAAATAAATCTTTAGCTTGAAAAGCGATAACCTTTAAATCCTTGATAGTGCTCGACTCAATTTACGTCACAGCAATCCAGAGCAATGATGTTTGCCTCGCCGAAAAGATGGCGCGTGTAGAGAATATCTCTGTGTGTCTGTCATAGTAGGTGGTCCATCGAAAGAAAAAAAAAGCGACTTTTAAAATATCTTGTTCTCAGTAAACGCTTTCTCTTTCTTGTGCTTAATTGTGTTTCCCTCTCTGACCAAGAGGTCAGCTCGAGCATAGAGCTTCTTTATGCTCGAAATTCAATCTTTCAATTTTGTGACAATGAACTTGTTTGCGCCCAACTGTTTTTCATTTGTCAGACGTAAATTGATCGCCACTCAAAGACGGTCCAAACGCACGCCCCCTTTGGGACAGGAAACCAAACTGACTAAATGCCCGCCGTTTTAGTTCCTGAAAGGCGCGATTTTCGACCGTTCTGCGGCAGGAAAATTTGTTGGCAGTAATATGTGGTGTATTATAGCGCAACAGATATGCTAACAGAATTGCAAATTCCACGTTTTCCTCTGTAGAATAGCGTTATTTACATGAGGCTGATGAGCGTTGCAAGGAATGTATACAATTTGTTTGTTGGGTCACGTGCCTTCATAAAACTCCTCCCACTGGTGTTGTTAGACTGATACGCGTCATTAATGATTGACAGATTCAATCATAGCGGTGACTTTGCTTTTGCTTGTATTCATAAATTTTATCCCGAAAAGTAGAACGTGAGTCTCTCGGAATATTCGCTTGGAAACACGAATTTTCGCATTCTTTGAGTCGTGGAGAAGTGTGAGAGATATCGTTGTTTGAATCTCTAGCGTGTAATCGGTTGAAAGCAGCGACAATTTTGCTGAAGTTTAGAATACGGGATGCTGAACATGGTGAAGTCTCGACCGTCCGCGTAACGCACTAACGGTTTTGTAATGATTTTTCTGTAGTGACTCTAGACTTTACGACTATGGTCGCTCTCAAGTTTGGAACTGTCGTTCGTCTTTCCCTATTATGACACCTGAAGTTCTCACGGAATCGACTGAACTTAGAAACGATGGTTGAAGAAACCCTCGCTGGAAAAAAGAGGGTTCGATTGCGGCATGGTACATTACTATGGACGCTTGTGTGTTTGTATGCAACAATTTTACCCGCTTCTGCTACACAATACAGTTTTCATGTCCAAGAAGAATTATCACCGGGAGCCTTCGTCGGACAAATTACTACTTCACCTGGAGTATCATATACATTTGAAGGGAGTCCGTTACGGTTTACCTTAAATTCTGTAACTGGAGTGATCACCACAGCTTCGCGAATCGATCGGGACAGTTTGAACTCAAATCCGATCGCTCTGCGAGTTCGGACTTCACCTACTCCTTCCTCTATCGACGTGATTGTATATGTGGACGATATTAACGATAACCCTCCAGAATTTACTTCGTCTGACTTTCCTGTCAGTATTTTCGAAAATGCGCTTGTGAACAGCGTGTACGCGTTAGACCCGGCGTCTGACAGAGATGAAGCAGAAAATGGCACCATTGATTACTCCATCATTTCCGGCAACGATGCAGGGAAGTTTCAACTCGGTAGGAATTCGACCGAATGCGGTGGCTACGACTTGTGTGTTATTACCCAAGGAAGTCTTGATCGAGAAAATGTGTCTGTTTATGAGTTGAATATCTCTGCAAGCGATCGAGGAACACCATCACTGCATGCCTATTGTTTGGTAAATATTACACTCGTGGATTTGAACGATAACAATCCGGTGTTTACAACAAACTTGTACAATGCTTTGGTAGACGAAAATACTTCAGCTGGCGTGGAGATATTAGCTGTGACTGCAACAGACAAAGATCAGGGCTCGAACGGTGAAATAATTTATTATTTTGATGATACGGACGGTGATTCGAAGCTGTTCGATTTGAACTCAACAACAGGGGTGATTAGAACTCGAAATCCTCTCGACTACGAGACAAGAAAGCTTTACACTTTTGATGTTCTCGCTAGAGATCAGCCAGAAGGTGTGCAACCGAAAAATGGCAGAGCCAAAGTGGAAATAAGGGTACGAGATGTCAACGATCACAAACCGCTGATAGATGTGTACTATGCAAGTGGTATCATCCCCGGCCCCGAGGAAGTATCTGAAGGTGCTTCTGCTGGTCAACTTATAGCAACTGTCATAGTGACAGATCTTGACGACTTTTCTGGTCCAAACGGGCAAGTAACTACGTCCGTTTCCAATGGAAATGGAAGCTTTAGCTTGACTCTCGAATTTGCTCCGCCTCAGGGAACTGACTATATTTACCAACTTAAAACTGCTTCGCCTTTAGATCGAGAAAGGTTTCCATCCTATAACATCACAGTGACTGCCAAAGATGGAGGAAATCCCAGCCTTAATACATCGAAACAGGTTTTTGTCTCAGTTACAGATATCAATGACGAAGTTCCATCTTTCACCAAGCAAAGTTATTCCGCATCCATCAGTGAATTTGCCCAGAATGGAAGTACTGTTTATCATATGACAGCTATTGATTCCGATGAAGGGATTAATGGCCAGATTTTGTACTCAATATTAAGTGGTAATGCCTTGCACTGGTTTCAGATTGACTCTTTGTCAGGCCTTATTACCACTGCTGGGCTTCTAGACAGAGAAAAGTTGCGTCAAGTTTCTTTGACTGTACTTGCTAAGGACAAGGGTCTGCCGCCACTTAACAGTACCACGGTGGTGACTGTAACAATCAGTGATGTCAATGATAATCGACCAACATTTTCTCAGGATGTCTATAACAAGACACTGGCAGAGAACTTGAATCCTGGAACTACTGTTATGACACTACAAGCTAAAGATAGTGACGCTGGTGATAATGGTAATGTAACATATGTGATTGATTCCTCTTCCCAAGAAATAATTGACACTTTTCGCATCACACTAACAACTGGTGTCTTGACTACAAAGGTAGAACTTGATCGTGAAGTTAAAAGCTTCTACACCATACCTATCAAGGCCAGTGATCATGGCAGTCCACCACTGTCATCAACAACTTTGGTGCATTTGCGTGTCACAGATATAAATGATAATTACCCAATATTTTACCCTGTCACCTATGTTGAAAGTGTGCTAACAAATACCCAACCAAGCGTCATTACCCAAGTAACTGCAACTGATGCAGATGCGGGGACTAATGGGAAGATTGTCTATGTCATTGCTGATGGTGATTATGGAGAATTCTCAATTAACAGCTCTACTGGAGAAATAAAAACTCTTTCTTCACTTGACAGTCAAGGACGAGGATTTTACAAACTGAACATTACTGCTCAAGACATGGGTGGTCTATACGCAAAACAGCCAGCGTCAGTAGAAATCACTGTCCAAGGACAGTCAGATGATCCTCCCAAGTTTGAATTCAGCATCTACAACTTCTCAGTGTATGAGAATGTTCCGTCTGGGACATATGTTGGAAAGGTCATTGCCACTACAAAAGCCAACAATAAGAGCATTCAGTACTCCATAGTTTCAGGTGATCCAAACAATTTGTTCCTTGTTGACGGCGCTGGTGGAATTATTATGGTCGATGGACATGTGGACAGGGAAGTGAAAGATAACTACTTCATTAGTGTTTTAGCCAAGGTGGGAACAGTGCGTCCCTTATCTGCAAGTACATCAGTGAACATAAATGTCTTGGACCGAAATGACAATCCCCCAGTCTTCAAAACTCCTAGTGCACAAGTGACTATTGATGCTACCTGGGCTGTCGGGAAAGACATTTACCTGGCTTCAGCGTCTGATGAAGATGCTGGTCTGAATGGTGTGGTTCATTATCAGTTGACTGCGGATGGCAATGGCCTTTTTAAAGTGAATGTTACTTCAGGTGTGGTTTCATTGGCCAGGAAGATAACCAGTATAGATGATCCTGTATATATGCTGCAAGTGTTTGCTTCTGATCAAGGATCCCCTCCGCTTCATGCAGCCTTTATGTTAACTGTGAGCATTGAAACTAATCAACCACCAAGATTTTTGTCATCCTCATCTGTTGTTGACATTCCCCGTAATTTGCCTGTGGATAAGCGCTTCCTTCCTGTTATTGCTTTTGATCCAGATGCTGGTGACAATGGCATGCTGACATATTTGATTGCTCCACAAGGCAATGAGGAAGGATTCTTTGGAATTTCCTCAGAAGGATTGTTGTATGTAACAAAGAATCTTAACCAAGCAAAGAGTTCGTTCCAGATCTCAGTTACTGCAACTGACAAGGGAACTCCACCTCTCACAAGTTCTGCTTCAGTTACAGTTAACATTCAAGATTCCACTGAGCATCAAGCCATGTTTGTTAATGACACTTTTGAATTTACTCTGATGGAAAACCAACTACCAGGTACCAGTGTTGGCCAACTACTTCTTAAGGCAGGTAATTCCTTGAAAGACAGGAGGGTTGTTTATTCTCTTGTCGCAGTTCAGGAGGATTTTGTAGTTGATTCTCAAACAGGACAAATCATTACAAGAAGAATGTTTGATCGTGAGCAACTAGTTTCGCAGAGTGGACACAATGTTGTAACATTTCTAGCAAAGGCGGAGTACAATGACACACCATCAAGACAAGATTCAGCTATTGTGGTAGTTACAATTGAAGATGAAAATGACAACCTACCCTGGTTCCGCCGTTCAGTGGTTTATGTGACAGTTCAAGAGTCGTCTCAAGTAGGAATTGTTTACAAAGTCATGGCAACAGACCCTGATGACGGAGAGAATGCCAACTTCAATTTCTCCATTGTAGCTGGACCTAGTCCACAAGTGTTTTACATCGATCCCGTCGATGGAAATCTCTTTCTCAACTCCTCACTTGACAGAGAAGTAGTGGATCATTACACTCTCACTGTTCAAGCAACTGATACTTCCAACTCCTCCATGTTTTCTCAAGTGCGTCTTGAAATTGTGGTGGGTGATGCTGATGACAACAAGCCTAAATTCAATGTGACGTTCTCCACTGTTAATGTCTCTGAAAATTTGGCATTATCTTCCCAAATTGCTGTGGTGCAGGCAACTGACATGGATGAAGGTGTCAATTCTGAGATTGCATACACTATTACATCTGGAAATTTGGAAGCTGTATTTGACATCAATCACCTGACAGGCGAGGTATTTCTCATCAAGCCACTCAACTTTGAGAAGACAACAAAGTATCTTCTCAATATAACTGCAGATGATCGTGGAAGCCCACCCCAGTCTTCTGTGTCATGGCTCAGTGTTAATGTCCTTGATGAAAATGACAATGCTCCAAAGTTTGCAGATCAGCCAAATACTATCCGTGTTTTTGAAAATGTTACAGTTGGTTCTGAGATTGGTCAGTGTTCAGCGACTGACAAGGACAGTGGAGAAAATGGCCATGTAACATTTAGTATTGACAGTCAGACCCCAGTTGAAGACATGGCTTTCAAGGTGAACCCTGTGACTTGTATGATCAAGACAAGACAGAAGCTAGACCGTGAACATGCCCACTCATATAAACTTGTTATCAGGGCTATGGACAATGCAAGTCCTGAGCCAAAGAGACTTTCATCCACCAAGGAGATTATAGTTGTGCTAAAGGATGTGAATGACAACAAACCCAGATTTGTGACTGCTCCTGCTGTGGCAGTGGTTGGCAATTTAGCGGCTAATGATCTTGTCACGACTATACTAGCCAAGGATGCTGATACCGGAGTGAATGGGAAGGTAGACTATGTCATTAAGAGTGGAGATACCAACATTTTCCGGTTAGACTCGAACACAGGAGAGTTATTTGCAAAATCTCAGTTACCCAGTAACCAGCTGCGTTTCACCCTAACAGTATCGGCCAAGGATAGCGGTGTTCCTTCTCTTAGTACCGACACTACTTTGACAGTCTTCAAGAAGGGACAGCCAAACAGTGGCCCTACATTCAGTTCAGCGATCTACAGAGAC